TGAGGGAATTTTCATGCTATCTAAACGAAAATTTAAATAAGAAAAGCACTGCCGCGAAATTTAAAAAATTGATTAATAGATAGATTTTATAGAATCATAGTAAAATTCTGCAGAATTTTTTTTCGATCGGTACATCATATTTTTATTTACAGTACATGATGCCTGCGCCCCGCTCTCTCTCTCTCTCTCTTTCTCTATATAGTGATGAAATAAAATGTTATATCAGCAAAATCGTCTTAATTAAATTTACTGCCCATATTAATTTATCTCTTTTTCTTTTGTGCGATACACAATTATTTCTTTTGCAGCGATACCCATAAGAATGTTAAGAATTGTATTGCTTTATGAATCACGATAAGAAAACGCACTTTTTAATTAAGAGACAAAAGCAGACTTATGAAATTGACTTATAAATCTTAATTGAAAAGTTGGATATTTTTATTAGCGAGAAAGCATCGTCGAAAGCTGCTATGTACAAGACCCCTGCAGCAATAACAATAATCGTCGAACGTGCCTGATTGTTAATTGTAACCAGGATCCTTACGAATCGTTCCGAAAGAGAGAGAGAGAAAGAGAGAGGAAAGAGAGTACACCTTGATTGCAACCGGGTACTATTGCTTTTTATGATCATCTTCAAAAAGTGTGCGGCAAATTTTAATGAATCCCTTTATAAGCGCTAAATGAGTGGAAAAAGAAGTTTTTTTCTTATCCATTTTGCTTATTGTCTCTTATTAATTGTTTTTTGCGAAAAAATTCGCCAAGTATTTTAATAATACAATTTATTGCAATTACTGTCAATAATACAATGATTTCTTCGTTTTTTTTTTTACAATTTTAGGCTTCGCACTCGCATCTTAATTTTAACTTTTAAGGACTTTAAGTATTTTTTGATTAAAATTGTAATGGAACGAATTGTAATTTACTACATTTTAATAAATTTAATTAAAATTTAAAAAACTTAGATTTTTGCAAAGTTTTAGTAAATTAAATTCTTCTTGAAATTAGTTAAATTTGTCAATATATATTTAATTAATTATTAAAAATAATGGATTTATAAAAGAATTTTAGTTAAAAACACTAAAAAAAATTGAATTTTGAAGAAGTTACAAACGATTACAAAAATTAAATTATTATTATACATTTGAATTATACAATTAAATTATTATACATTTTCAAAAGTAATAAAATTCTTCTTACAAAAGTTCAATTATGTTCAAAAATTTTTAAAAATTCTTTTCAAAATTTGAATTATTATTTTTATAAATAAAAAAATTCTTCAAAATTCAATTATTTTCAAAAATTTTAATAAAATTCTTATCAAAATATCAATTCATTTCAAAAATTTTCCTGATTTCTATAATTTTCAATGTCTACTATTTTAAAAAATTTTCCAAAAGAATTCAATTATTTAAATAAAAAATTTAATAAAATTAAACGCAAACATTTAATTATTTTTATAAATAATAAAAATTTCACAGGAATTCAATTATTAACAAATTTTTTATAAATTTCTTCGCAATACTTCAATTAATTTAATTAATAATCAATTTTTTTATGAATGCAAATAGATTATTTTTATAAATAATAAACTTGTATTAGGAATTCAATTATTTTCATAAATAGTAAAGCTCATCGCAGAATTTTAATTATATTTGTAGTACAATTTTAATCAAATTCGTCGAAAAATGTAATTATTCTTAAAAATTTGATTAAAATTCGTCAAAAGAATTCAAGTATTTAAAAATTTGTTGATGAAATTCTTTATAAGAATTTAAATTTTAAAAACATATTATTCAACAAATTATTTACTATTGTATTTAAATAATTGTATAATTTTGAAAAGGTCCCAAATTAAAGTATTTGAAAATTTGAATTTTCTTTACTTTTAACTGTCAATTTTGAAGAATTATTTTTTTTAATTTTTTTTTTTACCATCTTATAATTATTTTTTTTTTTTTGAAAAAGTTTAATTTAATTTTTTTTAATAATTTGAAGTTAAATGGAAGGTACATGGAAATTTTTCAAATATGGGAATTTTTCCAAATTCTCATAAATTTTCCTAAATGTTTATGAGAATTTTTTCAAACTTTTATGATTTTTTCTACATTATTTTTCATAGGCATGTCTCTAAAGTTACAAATGATTGCAGAAATTCAATTACTTACGAAAGAAATAAAATTCTTATGACAAAATTCAATTATGTTCAAAATTGAAAAAAAATCTCGTCAAAGTCCCAATTATCTTTATAAATAATAAAATTCTTCTTCAAAATGCAATTATTTTCAACAATTTTAATAAAATTCTTGTCAAAATTTCAATCATTTTCAAAAACTTTTCTCATTTCAACAATTTTTAATATCTCTACTATTTTAATAAAACTACCCAAAAGAAGTCAATTATTTTTTTAATACAATTTTAATGGAATTCCTTAAAAAAATTAATTATTCTAAACAATTTTATTAAAATTCGTCAAAAGAATTCAATTATTAAAAAATTTGTTAATAAAATTCTTTATAAGAATTAAATTTTTTAACAAGTTATTTACTTTTGTATTTAAATAATTGAATTCTCGTAGAGTTTTCATAAAAAATTTACTTAAAAATGAATTTTAGTTTAAATTTTAGATAATAGAATATGAAAATAATTTTGAAGAATTTACATAGTAATTCTTATAATATAAAATAATGATTTTAACACTCGATTCTCTCTAATTATTAGAAAACATGAAAAAATAATTAAAAAAAGATTAATTTTAATTATATTATAAATTATTTTAAACTATTATTATTTATAATTTTTAATTTTAATCGTTTTCTTTATGTTTTATAACATTAATTTTAAAGTTGATCACTTTCAGGATTGGTGGACAATTTTCCCAAAATCCGTTTCCAAAAAAAAACTTTTCCCAAAACAGTTTATCCCAAAATATTTTTTTCCCAATGCTGGATTTTCCAAAAAATAATTTTCCCAAAAAATTTTCCCAATGTTATATTTTTTCCAAAATGTATATTTATTGCCACATTCGAACGTAATGTCCAAGTGATTGTAAGTACGTAACAAGTTTGAAAAAATAATAGTTTGAGTAAATTCTAGTTTGAAAAAAGATTTGAATAAATTCTAGTTCGAACTAATAGCAGTTCCAATAAATTTTATTTCGATAAAACAATAGTTTGAATAAATTGTGCTTTGAAAAATTATTGTTTAAGTAAATTCTATTTTGACAAATTTTAGTTTAGAAAAATAATAGTTTGAATAAATATAAATAGTATTTTGAAAAAATTCTAATTTCAATAAATTCTATTTCGAAAAAAACAATAATTTGAGTAAATTCTATTTCGAAAAAATGATAGTTTCAATAAATTTTTGTTTAGAAAAAAATACTTTTAATAAATTGTAGTTTGAAAAAATAATAGTTTAAAAAAATTGTAGTTTGAATAAATTCTAGTTCGACAAATTAATAGTTTCAAATTTCGAAAAAAGACTAACTTCAATAAATTCTAGTTTGAAAAAATAATATAGTTTGAGTAAATTCTATTTCGAAAAAATAATAGTTACATTAAATTTTTGTTTGAAAAAATAATAATTTGAATAAATTATAATTTGAAAAAATAATAGTTTGAGTAAATTCTAGTTTGAAAATTTTTTTTAATAAATTCTAGTTCGAACAGATTGGTGGACAATGTTGGATTTTTTTTTGGGAAATAAAATATTGGGAAAAATGATTTGCTTGGGAAATTTTTTTTGGGAAATATAATATTGGGAAAACATTTTTTGGGAATAATTTTTTTGCGGAAAAAAAATTTTTGAAAATCTTAATTCCTATCGAATGGATGGAAAAATAATAATAATTAAATATTTTAAATATGTAAAAAAGAAATAATTGTTTTCGAATATTTTTACATTTAAAGATATTCGTAAATAAATTTAACAGAACCTTTTTTTTCAATAATTTTAAAAATATTAAAAATTTTGCACATCACTGCCCTTCTTTATTGTATTTTAGACGTTCATACAAAATTTCAGCTCAATTTAATAATTCGAAAGATTAGAAAAAAAAAAAATATGTCGTAGAAAAACGGTACTTTCAGCTTGAAAACGGCAGAAAGTGCAGAGAATAAGTGTTGGGGGCTATTTTGGTTAATGAAGTCAACGGTGAAAAAGATGTAACCAATGGTGAGTTGGTCTTAATAAGTAGTTATGTCAAAGTGAGAGACTCTGCGCGACGAAGGGTGAATGATAGTATTTCAAGTGTCCTCTCTCTGTCAATTATGCTAACAACCAAAGAGCCATGGGGAATAAATAAAAAAAAAGAAGATGGAGAAATAAAAATAAAAATAACAAGGACAAAAGAAAGCCAGAAGGTAGATGCGCTCTCACATTCGCAGTGAGGATGTCACCCTTATAGTGCCAAGAGGACTTGCCAGCATCACGCCATGCATCATTCTCATATCGTTATATCGATCTACTATCACTGCAAGATCATGATTTATTGAGACGAGTTTCACTCCCATGAAATGTCTTAATCTGCATTTACAGTTGCGCGCACGATTTTTTTCTGTATTTATTTATTTTGCCATCTTAGAAGAAATATTGCATATTATTGTTTCGCAAAGGGTTCTGTTATCTTTTTGCCCAGGGGAAAAATATTTCCCACGTTTCAATTTTTTTTTTTTAATTTTATCATTTAGAATCAAGTCTCGTTGTGTCATCTTGATCGGATATCAAAAATATTGTTTCACGAAGTAAGTCCCTTGTATTTGTCCCCGATCACTAATGTCTTTATTTTCACGATTACTTTTATAGACTCTGCTCTCTTCTTGTTCTTTGTAAGTGCGGATTGCATTTATGGTGGATTTTTTTTTTTTTTGCTTTTCCTTCATCTTCAGATGAAAGCGAGTTGATCTTCTTCGTTTTCTTTTTTTTCTCCTTTGGCAGTAGTCTCTAGGGTTTGCCTTTCTCTTAAGTGGAATCACGTAAAGTACTTTGGCAGATCGTAAAAGTGCGAACCGATTTCTCGATCGTTTATTATCGATTTTCAACTTGAAGCGCAACTTGAAGGATTTTCCCAGGTTTGTTAACATTTTATTCCCCTGTGCTTTATTGTACAACACTTTTATTTATTTCTTCTTGTTTCCTCCTTCTCGTCCACCAAATACAGAAATTAAATGTCACAAAAAAATTATCGATTGAAATTATGATTTTTCTTCAATTATCGTTTTTTGTGTTTTATTTTCTCTAGTTTATTTAGTTCTATGAGAATTCAGAATTGCCGCTGGTCAGGAAAATCAAGAAAAAGTCAGAAAATAATTGAATTTTTGCGAAGAATTTTACTATTTATAAAAATAATTGAATATTGTTCTCGAAGAATTGATTAAAATTTTAGAAAAATGAATGAAATTTATGATAATATTTGAAAATTTTAATTTTTTCGAAGAATTCTATTCGAATTGTTTTGAAAAGAATTGAATTTCTGCGCAAAGGATTTTACTATTTATAAAAAATGATTGAATTATTGCGAAGAATTTTAATATTTATAAAAATATTTGAAATGTTTCGAAGAATTTATTAAAATTTTAAGAAATAATTAAATTGTTATGAAGAGTTTTATAGAAATTGCATTGAAAATAATTTAATTTTTATATAGAATTTTTTAAAAATATTTTGAGAATAATTAAATTATTTCTAGAGAAGTAATTGAAATTTTATGAAAATATTTAAAAGTACTTAAATTCATTCGAGGAATTCAATTGAAATTGTTTTGAAAATAATTGAATTTTTTTAAAGATTTTACTATTTAAACAAATAATTGAATTTGGATTTATTATTTATTATTCGAACACAATAATTTCCTTTATAAATATTTTAAATATTTAATTATTATTATTTTTCAATAGGAATTAAGATTTTCAAAAATATCAAATTAAAACCTTTTTGAATTTAATCAACTTTAAAAATATTGTCATAAAACATAAAGATAAAATTATGTATTAAAGATAATTGAAATTCTGCGATGAGTTTTATTATTTCTGAAATTAATTGAATTATTGAGAAGAAACTTATAAAAAATTTGTAAATATTTGAATTCCTGTGAGAAATTTTTATTATTTATGAAAATAATTAAATGTTTGCGTACAATTTTCTTAAAATTATTTTTAAATAATAATTGAATTCTTATTTGGTTAATTTTATTAAAATAGTATATATTGACAATCATTGAAATGAGGAAAATTTTTGATATTAATTGAAATTTTGATAAGAATTTTATTAAAATTTTTGAAAATAATTGAATTTTGAAGAATTTTTTAATTTTTAAAGATAATAATTTAAATTTTGAAGAGAATTTAAAAAAAATTTTGAACATAATTGATTTTTTTGAAGAATTTTGTTACTTTTGAAAATAATGGAATTTCTGCAATTATTTGTAACTTCTTTAAAATTCAATTTTTTTTGTGTTTTTAAATATAATTCTTCTATAAATCCATTATTTTTAATAATTAATTAAATATATATTGACAAATTTAACTAATTTTTGAAGATTTTGAATTATTAAAATTTTCCAAAAATCTAAGTTCATTAAAATTTCTAATTAAATTCATTCAACGTTGAAATTTTATAAAATTTCAAATACTAACCGTTTGAAGTTATAAAAATTATAAAGGCAACTTTTTTAAAATTGAATTAATTTTGAAATATTTAAGTAAAATTATTCATTCAATAATTAATTTATTTTATGATAGTTGTTCAAGATTTAAGTTATTTAAAAAGAATTTTTTTTTTTAGAAATTGAAAAAATTGAAGGTTTTGTATTAGAATTCGTGGTAATGAGTCAAACAAAAAAGACACAAAAATTCGAAATATAGAATTATTATAATTATAATACTACTAAAAGATATATTGCAATTCATATTTTATTTTTATAAAAAGAAATTCGAATTAAAAATTTTTATGTTCTATTATTTTTAAAATTGCTAATTTTATTTTAAAAAAAGTGAGGGAGAAGTTAAAATCATAAACTTCACCTTCAAAAAAAAAAGTTTATGTTTTATTTTTCCAGAAAAGAAATTAATAGTATTTTTCCTAACAAAGTCCGCATACATGCATCAAATATGGATGAAATTTCGCTTTTTAATATTTGATTTTCGTCGGGCTTTTTGTTTTTTTTTATTGTTGTTATTATTATTATTAATCCAACTCGCCATTCGCTTCAATTTGCACGAGTGACTCGACGTTTCGACTTTCAACAATACGAATACAGGTGGGAATGGTATGATGGTGAAAAATCATTTTTAAACTCCGAACGACTATCGTTGTTTGATTAGGAAGGATTCATTCGAGAATTAAAAAATGACCGACAAAAATACAAGTTAAATTAAAGAGAGTTTAATTAACACAGAAAAAAATGCTTTCCACGTGGTAGAGAAAAAAAAATTATTTTCTAAAAATAGGAAATAATAGTAATAATGATAATTACAATAATGATAAATAATAATAATAAATAGTAATAATAAAAAATGGTAGAAAAGGTATTTTTATTTTTTTCCTTTGAAAGCCTGTTTATACTGCAAATAAATAAATAAATAAATACTAATACATAATAGTAAAAATGGTACAAAAAGGCATTTTATTTTCCCTTCGTAAATCTGTTTATATTGTAAATAATTTTTTTATTAATTTATTTAAAATCTTAATGAAACAGTCCCTTTTAAATTAATTAATAATAATATACTACAAAATTATAATAAAAATAATTGTCCCGTTTATTTTTGAAATAAAAAAAGAGTAGTAAAAAATAATATAATAAAAATAGTGGATTTTGTATATAAATATTAAAACAATGTTATAATAATATTATTTTATAAATAGATAATTTTCAAAGAGGAATCTAATTTTTTTTGTTTTTTTGAAGCGGCTTTTTTATCACTGAAGAAATGCATCTGCGGGTTTAATTTAACGGGAGATATATTTTTTGATAGGTTAAATTTAAGGTTACATTCGTTTGATTCAGTGAAGAAAATTAGCAGCCCTTCAAAATTCTAAACCGGCGTTTCTAATCTATGACATCCGACAAAGTATTCATTTTAAAAGCGAAATGAAAGACATGGCTATTTAGCGGGCAAATGAGACTTTAATAATGCTTCATCCACATGGCTTTTTTTGAAAGCACAAAATTAGACTTATATATGTTATAAATCCGCGTTGAGAATTGAGTTAGCAATTAATTTCGATTTAGCGAAACAGCAACAGTCGACAGGATAATTATATATATATACAGGTCCAGATTATTAGACGATTTCCTTGTTTCTTTCATAAAAGGCGATATCTTTTTTTACCCCCATTTTTTTGATCTACTTTTTGCTCGTTTCTATTTTTTGGTATTTTTATTTTTCTCTGCTTTTATTTTAATCTATTTTTAATTTTTATTTTAATCCATTTTCTATTTTATCTGTTTTAACTTTTTTGCATTTTTAATTTTTGTTCATTTTTTGTTTCTGTCTATTTTTAATTTAATTATTCTTTATTTTTTCTAGTTTTATTTTTTATCCATTTTTTAGATTGTATATTTTTATTTTTTATTTTATCTATTTTTATTTTTTCATTTTTTATTTTATTAATTTTTTTACATTTTTTCTTTTTACTCATTTTTAATTTAACTGTTCTTTATTTTATCCACTTTATATTTTGTATATTTCTATTTTTTATCTATTTGTATTTTTTTCCATTTTTTATTTTTTTCCATTGTTTTATTTTACTCATTTTTTACCATTATCTATTTTTATTTTTTCCATCTTTTGATGTATACATTTTTTATTTTCGTAAATTTTTTATTTTATCTATTATTACTTTCATCTCGCAGTCAAAAAAAAAAAAAAATTCTACACAATTTTACTAGAATGATTCTCCGTAAAATCTAGTGAATATTTTATAGAATCTCTCTAGAAAATTTGAGTAGAATTTCTACATGAATTCTATTTTCTATTTGGTACAAATTTACAAAATTATATATTATTAACATTATTAATATTATTAATAACAATATTTAACAATACTATTAAATGATTATTATTTACTAATTAAGATTATTAATAAAAAAATATTATTATTAAAAATATTAATATCGTAGGATTAATTAAATTTTTCTTTTTTTGAATTTCGCGCCAATATAGTTCACTAAACTGCCGCCTAGACGGCATGAAAATTCTCTCACAAACGAAGTTTAGCGAATAGAAAAAATTAATCACGGTGGCGATAAAGAATAGTTTTATGTTTTAATTTGTAATTTCTAATTTGGAATTTGTAATTTAAAATTTATAATTAAAAAAATATTTCTCGATAAAATCTCAATTCACTGATAAGAAATTAATTTAAAACTAATCTGTAACAAAGAAAGAAGCGGAAAAATAAATTTTGCTCGCAAAAGTGTTAAAAATTCAATTAATTTAGTTTTTTACTTTAAAAGATACAGAGAGAGAGAGGGAATCATTTACCTTGTCTCGACACTTTGGGGTCCTAATAAGGCCCATCAAATCCCTTTCTTTAAAGCAAAGGCCTCACGCCATTACTCGCTCCTTTTAGCTTTAGTCGATGAAATTTTTTTGCGACGGTTATCAAAAAGTCGAGTTAGACAATGTAATGGCGTTCGGAAGAAGGTAGGAAAGGAGCCTTAATAGTAAGGGAGTTCATTAATTATCAAAACTGAAGGGGCTTCCTTTACTCTCCCTCCCTCCCTTTCTCTCTCTCTCTCTTTTCCACTTACAATGGGTCGCTGTCTTCAAAATCTCGATCCAAACTATTATACTCGATTGCTATCTAAATTGGGCGCGATATATTCCCGATGATCAAATTTTTTGTGACTATTTTCTTTTTTGCTCTTCCTTTTTTTTTGCTTTTATTATAATTCACATCGCCCATCAATAATTTATAAAGAGAACGCTATATACTTTACGGCAATGATGCTACAAATGATGACAGAAAAAAATTGTTCCATTCTTAAGTAGCCTTGTTATGTCGCATATTAGAGCTCTTAAAATATTCAAAGTCAAAAAACCGGATTTTTGAGCGAAGCAATTTA